GGGGGGGGGGGATGATATTTTATTAGACAAAGCTGTCCATGTGAAGATACTTACATTGCTTTTCTATAATAGCCAAAGCTATGAATGTGGCAAAAGCAGCAACAGCCAGGAGGGAGAAGACGGAACTAACAAACATGAAGAACTTGAGTCCCTTCAGCCATGTGCGCCAGTAGTCCTGAATGTACATAATGTGGGTGACCAGTGCCCAGAGTGCCAGAACTCCTGGAGATTTAAACCCATAAGATACACACATCCATACATTGAAAAAACAAATTTGGTGTACAGTATGCTGTGAAAATAATAATAATAATAATAATAATAAAGAATGAAAAAGAAATAGAAAATGTACTGGTAATTTTCTGACATTATCCAATAATTTTATGGACATTTTCGTTAACCCTAAAACACAATGCAATTAAGTGCAAAATTCAAAATACAGGTAAAACACATGTAAAATAATACATTTGGAAAATTCCCTAATATTAATACAGTACATTGTGCTATATTTTTACAGATTTCCAAGTAACACTTTGAATTAAAAGTAAAACTTTTAAGTAGAAAAACTGAAAAGTATTTTCTTACTCCAATAATCTGTTTCATTTAAAACTTTGAAAAATCTTGAGTGCAAAGTTGAAAAAAAAAAAAACAAGCTGAATCAAAAGTACACAAACACATTTTTCTTTCTTTCTCTGGGTAGAAATAGTCCGAAATCTGCATATTTATGGGTGATGATTTCAAAAGTAATTTTAAGAAGATAACAGGCTGATCCTTATAAGAAAAAAATAAAATAATCACCAATTATATCTCTATTGGGATAGCAAACCACACACTGCACCAGACTATATTATACACAATGTGACAGCCGGAGATCTTCCCAACCGCAAGATCACACATTCGTTGTTAATAACAACGAATTAAAAAGCATGACAGTAAAAGAAACAGGATGTGAAATGTCTATATTTGACAGCGGATGTCTGAAGACAATGAGTCTGTGGCCTTGAGTTTATTTACAGACCTGATAATCCGCCCATCGCCGCCGTCCATGGCTGTTTATAAACCACATTCCACACGATAAACGCCGAAAATCCCACCAACGTGCCGACAGTGGCATAACCCACACTGATGTAGATCCTGTATGGACCCATTAATCATGTATAAAGTACTGCAGTTAAGCTGTAAAAAGAGGCTGAAGCGAAGGATTACACCATCGATGAGAGATTATGTAATGCAGCGCTACTTATTCGTAAACACGACTGCATGACCCGGAAGAGCTCCCCGGTATCACCATAGCAACCATCAACAACCTCACAGTCGCGGACGTTTGAATAGTTGAACAAAACGTTTTATTACTATATGGATATGTAAAAAATGCATTTAAATCAACTACATATGTGCGAAACATAACGGAATCATTTTTATGCTATCAATTTAGATTTGTATTTCAAATTATATATTTAAACTCGCAAAACACGTGTGTACTTTAAATATTGTAAAAATAAAACGTTCTCATTTCATAGAATGACTCATAATTACTGCAATGCTCATCGTGTCAACAATGGCTAATCACAATGTGCTCAAAAAATAATTATGCATTAAATGTGCGTTCATTGCTGAGAATTTCATTATGCACGCATGCTAATTAAACACTCGTATTTATTGTAAATAATTAAAAATAAATTGGGCATAAAGTGACTGAAGCTTGCAAAATCAATGGTAATACATCAGATATGAAATAGGAATGCATCCAAAAAAAGTTTTTTTTGATTGTCCATGCTTATGTATAAATAAATAAACCAGTCTAAACAAACAAATAGTAATAATCTAAAACAGAGGAAAGGTGTGTAGAAAAATCTAGAGGCTACACACATAATGTCACATGTTTCTCTTGTTGTTTGCACAGCACTGAAGATGGTGGTTTTAATCTGTTTGATCTCTGCTCGGTGGTTTTCCATCTAACTGTGAAACTCATTCTCACTGCACTACAGTAATTGTGAAACCAAAAAAAAACTAAATAATAATAATAATCTTCTCAATTGCAAATGTAGGTTGTCAAAACTAACGGGAGTGATCGTCGTCATTGATTATGCAGATCATGCATAAAATTCCATTACAGAATAGAAGAAATGCTACACCCAGAATTAATCATTCAACATCATTCCTTGCAACCTATTCACTTTATTGTCCTTCAAGCATATGAATACACGAGGAACAAAATGCCATGCCTTTGGGTACTATGTATGAAATACAATTACATAAAATACAATTAATTAGTGATTATTTATTTATGATCACAAAATGTGATCATGTAAAATGTGTAAAGTGTGCAATAGTAATGAGTTAACTGTGCAGGTAGACATCATGATGTTATCACCGTATAAACAGCACAAGGGGAAAAAAACATCCAAATGGTATCCATTTAAAATGATCAAAATTATGATCTCAAGCAGTGTCGATTAAGCATGAGCACACATCTTCGGCCAGACAGATGCTAATGCAGAATAAAAGTCCAGAGAGGACTGAACCAAATCAAGAGGCCACGCAGCAGGAGGCCGGTAACTCGCATGGCTTCAGCGATTCAAATGAGATCAACACTCAGTGGTTTCCTCTGTATGCTTCACAGACAACACTGAGAGACATTAAGAGATCGAGCGAGAGATAAAGAGAAAGAGAAAGTCATTCAGAGATCGATACTTCGCAAGACAGACGAACATTTGGTGCTCGCCTTGAAGACAAGAAAGACAAGACTGTCCCTGGCACTGAAGAAAACTATTTGGGAAAAAAAAGAAAACACTGTCAACATCATCTACAGACATACTGGTGAGTGTGGTTATGAAATCTATCACCGACAGATGCAACCACATTTACCTTGTATTTGAGTAGAAGATCTGATCCTGAATACTTATGAATAGATTCACTAGATAATTAGAATGTTTGACTAATTCTGAACAAAATCTGAATCTAATTATTTGTGTATTGTGACACATTTTCAGGTAACTGACTGCAAAACATTGTTACAGTGCTGATAGGAAAAAAGGCAGATCGTATCATCATAATCATAATAAAATATATAATAAAATAACAAATATTTTAATATACTATAATAAAATATCCATTACAATTATATTGATTAATAAATATATTAAATTAATACATTTATTTCTATATTTAGTCATTTAGTCATTCAATTTACATTTTAAATCAATTTTTAAAAAATTATATTTATTCAACCCTTATTTACAACCTGTTTTACACATTAGCTAAAATGTTGCCTATGGTTGTGCATTTAATAATCTTGCTCAGAAATTCTCAAATAACTCTGGGAAGTTCTGTGGGCATGTGATTCATCATGATGCTGGGAAATTTAAGAGACTAGTGGGTGACAGGCGAGCGCAAGAAGGTGATCTGTGAATTTACAGAAGCCCCCAAACAGCAGACAGGAAGTTACACACGATGTGGTTGAGGAGGTGTGCATTTAAAACATCTCTCTCTTTTCTCCATCTCCCTCCGGGTGCTTTCATCGCTTCATATTTCACTGGACTTCCAATATAAACAATATTTCCTTCCTCCACGGACCACAGAGATCCTCTCTTTCTAAGAAATGGGCGCTTAGTTGGTATGGGAAGGAAAAGGTGATTTGGAATGACAGGATTTATGAGCATGTAAAAATCACATAGTGTTCTGGAATTACGAAGAGACGGAAACAATCTTCATGTGCATGTGCGAAGCGTGAGATTCCAGTGAACGGGACATTAATGTGTGTGATTTTTGTTTCATGTAAAATTGTGTAGCATTTGGGAATCTACAGGGAGTTGAAGATTGATTACAAAAGGCTGTGATTTGTTGCAGGAAGTCCTACACCCTTTCCCAAAGGAACTGTGCGCTGGTTTTCTCGCTGTATTTTAATCTCTGTGATATGAACGTTTTCTAGAAATGTAGTACTAAAAATAGTTAATTTGTGGACACATTATGGAAATGTAAAGTACTAAGATTCATGGAACATTCTATAAAACAGTCACAAAATTTACTCCAGTTTATCAAGTGTGTAAAATATACTACAGCTATAAATGCACACTAGAGGGCACACTAAGTCAAGCAGCACTATTGCTCATTGTTTGGGTTATGGATTTGAACAACTTTTGCCCACAACATATTCTTTTATGCTAGCAACAAGAACGATACCTTAAATTGTATATGCTATACTTTTAAAGATTTGTGCCTGACAGGCAAAACTGGTGAAAATATTCCCATAGATTTAAATATAAGGAGGCAAACTTATCTATAGACCAGAATATCAGAGACTTGTGAAGCCAGTAAACAACCACCTAGCAACCACCCAGAACACCTTAGCAACTGCACAGCAACACCCTGGCAACCACACACAAGATCCTCAATGTAATGTTTTTTGCATGAGCAAGTGCCACCTAAATATAATATAATTTAATGTTGTTGGTTTTTTTTAACACAGGTGACATTTTAATTAATAATAATAATAAATATGCAAAAAATATAAATCACAAATATATTATAATAAAACACATTAAAATTATATTTAATAATTAAGATTTAAATAAGTTGAATAATAATAAACAAGTTAAAATACATTTACTTATTTCTATATTTAGTAAATTAAAAAATATAAATTATAAATAAATATTTTATATATTCAACCTTTATTTAACCAGGAAAATAAAAGCTCTTTTACAAGAGTCTCCTGGCCAAGACAGGCAGCAGCACAAGTACTTACACAAAATAAAACACAATACACAAATACAACAAAATTCGACAGTCAGTCAACATCATGGATAATTCAAGCAGCTATAATTATCAGTCATTATCATTTAAATTTTATTATGACCTTCCGTTTACTTAATAGGACAATAGGGTATTTGAGGTGTACAATAAATTATTCCACTGCCATATATTTTAGAGGTAACTAAGTATACAGGTGCATCTCAATAAATTAGAATGTCGTGGAAAAGTTCATTTATTTCAGTAATTCAACTCAAATTGTGAAACTCGTGTATTAAATAAATTCAATGCACACAGACTGAAGTAGTTTAAGTCTTTGGTCTCTGCAAAAAATTCTTCTAGCTGTTAACTATAGGCTAACTAGGTTAACTGACTGGGTCTTAATAGACTATTGTCCTCTCAATCTGTGTGAGTTGATCTTAATCTAAAATATTTGGTTTAAAATGTTGTCAATATGGCAAGTTCATATCTGAAAAGGCATCCACATCTTTTCATTTACACTGCACACAGACACATTTTGACCGTCTAAAACATCTAAAGTGTCTCTTGCTATCTGATCTGAGTTAAACCTGTGCTTCTCTATCTGATACAAACTACACGTTCAAGTGCCTTGTGAGTATCACATGCAGGAGAACTGGATTTCTGAGTTCTGTCACTGGCACCGCTTTTGCCATAGGCAACCACTGACACACACACACACACACACACACACAGGAATACACTTTCATATATGCAGACAAGCAGTCAGGCACAAAGCAAATGGAGAGATTGTGGATCTTCTTACTTTCATTTACATCGGCCATAGGGTTTATATCATTAGCTGCTGTGGAGTGCGACGTACATGGAGGATATACACGCCAGAATGCTTTCCTTCTTTAAACAGATCTTGTCTGCTAAGAAGAAAAACAGACTCGGTAAGACAAAACTAATACTGTTCTGTGGAAGTGAATGCCTGTTTTGCGAGTTTTAGACCTCATGATCAGGGTTGTGAAAGTTTGTGAACATCAAATCACATAGTGTTGTATTCTCTGTTGTTTCTGTGAGCACACAAATGCATGCATGAATACTAGTGTGCATGGCACTTTCTAGAAACAGGGTACAAAATAAGGTCTGAAAATAACAAAGACCCCCCTTTAAAGAAAATAAAGGTAGGGAGAAAAATATGGGCCAAATTTGACTAAATATTACATTTCCCCCCGGTTTCACAGACAAGGCTTAAGCCTAGTCCCAGACTAAAATGTAAGTCTGAGCTGTTTTAACTTAAATAAACTTGCACTGACTGATCTTAAAATATATCACTGCCTTGTTTTGTCTCAAGACACACACCAGTAATGTTATTTTCTAAGGCACGTTTATAAAAATTACTTAAATATCCTAATTGAACTATGGCCTAATCCTGGCTTAGTCTAAGCCCTGTCTGTGAAACCAGGCCATTGTGTATACAAATTAGTCAATCACTATATGTTTTTACTACTTTGACTTCAAATAATGTC